ACACACACATATGCTCTCACACACATACACACATACACACACTCACACACACACACACTCACACACACACACTCACACACACATGCATGTTTACATTGTAAACAAAACATTCTGTACTTGTCTTATTGTCCTGACTGTATTATAGAACCTTATTAGCTACTATTTACCGAGCCCTTGTTATACACCAAACACGGTCCGCACGTTTCGCGTGTATTACTAACTGATTTCATCGCCAGGACACCCCTGTTGGAGTCGCTCCCCAAATTGAGGACATCATGAGTGAACTCCCTCATTTCCAGTCCCTGCCTCTCTCATTCTTCTTCCTGTCTGCCTGCCTGTCTCTCTTAGAGGGAGAAAAGGACCCTGTGCTTCCTCCAAGATAGTGTTGTCCTCCACCCTGTTCACCTCTTCCAAGAGTTCACTCCTTCTCTTTTTGTATTTTTCTCTTTCAATTGAAAGAGCCCACATGTGTCTAAGTCTTTGCTAATTTATTAAAGACTAATCTCCTACCCCAGGTCTCAAACATCCAATGCTTTCCTTTCTTCTATTCACCAGTATATTCATCCAAAGAATGATGAGTCTCCTTCTTGAGTCGTCCACCCTCACAGCCCTTACTTCTGCCCTTAGCATCCACTTCCCAACCCCTCAATCCTCTCCATCTGGTTTAGTCAGCCTTCATCTTTCCACCCAGTCTGCCCAGTCAAATTTCCAGTGCCCTCCTCTGCTCATCCCGCAGTCCCCTGGTCTTCACTGAAGACTCTGCTGGGGGGATTCTTCTTCCTTTTCAAGACGTTCTCCCTGCATGAGTACAAAGTCACCCACTCTCATTCCACCCCCACATCTCTATGGGCTCTTTTGGAGTCTCTGTTACTGTGCCTCTTCTTCCACCTGCTGTGCCATTTCCTGGCATTCCAGCTCAGATGTCCTCCCACTCTAGACATTGGGATATCAGCTACAAACCGGTAACTTAAAATCCACATATCTGCTCCAGGTCTCTCCGTATCTCTATCTCTGTCATCTCTCTCTCTCTCTCTCTCTCCTCTCTCTCTCTCTCTCTCTCTCTCTCCCTCCCTCTCTCCCTCCCTCCCTCCTTCCCTCCTATTCCACAAGTCCAACACCTAATGGCAGTTCTCCCGGTGTCTTTCCCAACCTCACTCTCATTCTACGCCACCCCCTCCCCCCCCACCCCCC